TGAGTAAAATAGCAAAGTTTATACTACTAGGTAAGGTTGTCAAAGTAAAAGCCAATGCTCACATCATTTTTCAAAATTCATTTCATGTTAAAAAGTATGTCATCCTTAAGCAATTCATACTAGAAAATATCCACTATCAGATAATAATATATCACATATACTTGCAGGATGATGGCAGAAACTCTTATTACTTAGTCATAAAGACGCATTAGATACCTAATTTTGTTTCTGGCATCTCTCTTTGATTTCTTTCTCCAGTTTTCAACCCACACCGAGGAAGACTGAAATCTGGCACAGGTGGTAGCTATTGCTATTTAGATGTGATCAAAACATTCCTACCACATGATTATCTCAGACAGATACTGTTTAAAGTAGGGGTAATGCATACTTGGTTATTTGGCTAGACTTGCTTTCCTGATAAGAAATCTTTCCAGAGAGAAGCTACTTTGTAAACTGCATTTGGAGTCTGTTCAGATGGCATCCTTTTTGTTTACAAACTTTTATCACTTAATTCTCTTCAAGGATTATGCTTCCCTCTAATTTTAAATATATTTCAGGGTATGTTGTATGTCCTGCCAGTTTTGTGTTAGCATTAACGTCTACTTGAATTTTTTTTTTTTCGTTTGAGGTTCACATTCAGATTAGGAAGAGAGATAAGTTTTCCAGTAGGAAAAGTGTTAGCTGCTGCTACCATTTTAAGCTAGAATATTTCAACGCAGTTCTTCCATTCCACAGGGCCTAACTCTGCAACCTCTGCATTATTCCCATGTCCAATCTTTATCTGGTACTATAGTAGTTTACTCCATTTGGCCAACTTGCCTAACTGTTGTATCTTCTTTTTAATGATTTTCTATAAATATCCCTGTTACTTCCAAATGTCTTTATAGATGATGAATGGGATCTCTTTTAAATCATTCGTATGTCATTGTATTGAAAACATTATTTGGAGCTCCAGAATTTTTTCACACTATGAATTGTGTTTGGATATAAGTGGCCCAGCTCAAAAGATCATGTGCTGATTATGAAAGTGGATGACAATTCTTTTCTAGTGGCTTCTCTCTTGTGGCTATTGGGGGATATTAGTCTTTTCTGGCTAGGCCTAGCCACTTTTAAAAGCAAATACTCTTTCTACAAATGGTGAAGAAAGGAAAGAGGGATTTTTAGAGGATAACTGAAGTGGTAGAGAAGCATTCCACCAGCCCTGCCACCACATTAAGAGAAAACGAATCCTTATAGGGTCTTCATGAATCCTCACAGGGCAGTCCTGGGTGTCGTTTTAAGAATACGGAACCACGTAAGAGATCTAGAAGAATTATATTGTAAAGGTTTTGGAAGCAAACATCCACGTAAAGCACATGAACTCCAGCCACTGAAGGTACTGAGAGATGTTTAGAACCTTGGCCTGGTGGACGCTGATGTTGTTGGGTGTGTGGGGAGAGGATGGAAGGGCCAGCATTGCATCACTGGTAAAACCATCAAGAAGATTTTATCTTGCTGGCTCCCATGCCTGCAATTGTGGACCGTTCCAGGACCCGTTACAGATGAAACACCCAGCTGATTTTAAGTTCAAGATGAGCCTAACAACCGATTTGCACTGTACTGATGCCAACCTCTGAAAGTGCCTTCAAAAACTTCTGAAAATACCCAAGAACTTTAGTGATGAGCTACAAATGGCCTTGGTTATTGATAAATAAAAGTCAATACGTGAAAGGACAACTTACTGTGATAAATGGGCCCACCATCAGTAAAGATCACATTATTGACTACCTAGGACCCAGGAAAAACTGTCTATAGTTGACTTCCACAGGTGAGAAGTGGCCAACAACATCAATTCTGGAAAAGCTGAAAGAGACAAGGGGGATTCATTAAAACACACACCATGCGGGCAGCAATACCAGCGTGTACATCTGCGGCACTAGGCCAAAAGTTCTTTAGCCGGGCCTATGTTCATATTCTTTAATGTAGATGAGTTCACTTTGGGTTTCCCATAATCCCTCCAAAAGGTCCAATTCAAATTTCATCTCTGTACTTATTGCAGAGAATTCTTCTCTGCCAAAATGAAATGCATGTTTTTCTTGGAATGTGGTCTCTAATGCCCCTATTAAACTCGTTGTGCTTCGACTAGATCGCAAGTCGTATGAGGGTACATTAACATTCCTTCATTTCTCTCTCCCTTGTGGTATAGCAAGACATTTTACCCATAATAAGCAGTAGATCAATATTTGTTGATTTCACCAGTTTTGAAATGATTCATTAGCAAAGCCTTGGTCACATATCATGTCAGAGTTAATGATGAAGCATCACAGGATGCACCCAAAAGAACAATTGCAAGGATTAGCCTTCCACATACACACACACATTACACATACCAGCAAAAAAAAGTAGAATGGCAGTAATTAACCTCTCCAGTGCCTGTACTCCCACGTGACATATTATGTCATTGTTTCTTCTATAGTGAGTTTAACTGAATGCTTTATGAACTGTAGAGTAAAAAGGACTTAAAATTTGAAAGCTAACCTGTAATTTAGCAAAATGCCTGAATAACCCTCTCTTGACATTTCCAAAAATCAGAGATTGAAGTAAAAAAAAAAACTGCATGTTACACATAACCATGAGAGTTTATGGATAAATCGACATCTAACTCTCTAGCCTTCTTGAGAGATTATATACATCATTTCATCCTGCATCTACTTTATTGCCATTAGAAATGGTTACAGGCATATATTTGTTATTTTAATACCAAATTCTCTTCCCCTTTGAAGTCTTTGATTTAGGACAGATCTTTAAATATTTGGGTGTTTGGTAAGTATTAGGAGGAATGAACAAATGAATGGGTGGGAGAAAGTGTTAAATTATGAAATAACATATTGGCTGACAAGTACAATGCATTTGTTCAAATAGATAGAGGTGCTACCCCATTGGCTTTCAGTAAAAGATTTAGCTACATAATTGATTCCCTATTGTAATTTAGAAAATGAATAAGAAAGATATATGGAGATAAAAAAAATCATTAAACAAGCCAGGAAATTTTGACCGCTGTAATAGTTTTCTGCAGCTTTGATGCATTTAAACTATTCCACTTAAACATCCCACAAAAATCTATGGATTCAAAAAAGTAATCTATAAGTATGATTTAAGCTGAGGAAAATTAAATTAAAGGCAGCTATATCCATGATTACCTAGGCTATGCATGCCTCTCCTTCTGAATCACACACTAAAAAAGCACATCACCATTTACAAATATGCATTTATGGCATTAAGTGAACAGATTTAACAGAATGACCATTGAAAGCACATACCCTCTTGGGTTAGCCAGACTTCTAGCCTAGATCCTCTGCTTTAGTCCTTTGTTAATTCATTTATCTCACAGATCCTCTTGAGAATAGCTGCTGTGGTCCAGGCCCTGTGAGCACTGAAAAATGAATGAAACAGATGTAACATCTATTTTGATTTTATAAATGACTTTTTAAAGAATTTTATACATATATGTAAGTACTTGATCAATATTTTTGATGAGAATTCTCTGCAATAAGTACTTTTGTATAGATACATGTACATATATATGTGTGTGTATATACAAATACGTACATATACACATATATCTATATATTCCCCCAAACAAAAGGTTTCTGAGAAGTAATGAATGCCCAGTATGCTCACTTCCACCAGACAAAGTTGTTTCTGTGTCCCATGAGGGCTGATGATACTGTCTAGAGGGAATATTCGACCAGAATTACATTACTAGTCTCCTCCAAAGTGTGTCTGTGTGAGCCTTGGAGTGTAACTCCAACACTGCACATGTGCCATTACAGCGAGCAGAAGAGTGTGGCAGGTGTGACCGCTGCTAAGGCACCTCGGTGTCACTCACAGTGTGAAGTAGCACCGTCTCCAGCCTCCATGCTGTGTCTCTCATCTCCTAATGGAGATTTAGTAACAATGGCCCTATGCCAACAAACATTTTCTGTCCAGCTTCTATAAAGGTATATTTGGTTATTATATATTTACTGCTTATAAATATGGTGGGTGGGTGTTTGTGTGTTATCAAGAGCTGAAGAGACAGTGCTGGTGTTCACTACAGGAACTTATAATGCATCAGATTCCGTCATGCTCAATATACAAGTGTCTGTGTGCCTGTTTGTGCATGTGTCTTCATACTCCGGCTTCCCATTAGTGTGACATAATATATATGATTAGAGGCTTGTCTTACCTGTCTTGATTCACTAAATTCCTTCACAAAGACAAAGCTTAACTTTCCCAATAGATTGCTAGAAAAAAAATCTGGGAATGTGACTTCCGGAGGTAATTGAGACTGCATATCACACCTGTGGGAAATGGAGAACTTAGGGCCTGTTCCTTAAACAGAGTGAGTGTGGTATGTTCAGAGGAAAGGTTAGACTCCTGTACTCACTTCTGTTTCTGGACATAATTCACACTTAGGAAACACCAACACAGGGCAAGTCATTGAAAGATATGCAGCTCAAAATTCCAGCCCTCTGTGTCTACCCTGTATTCCAAGATTTCTTTCATGTTCAGTACTGTCTTTAATACAAGAACCAAAACGAATACCAAATGTTCATTAGCTGTGATTTGTGTGACAAAGGAAGCCTTGTCACCAGGGTAAAGCTGATCTTTCTAATGGAGTAGTCTCATGTTCTTCTCTGTGTCCTGTTGCCATTAATTGACTATGTTGTTTTAGATTTATGCACTAAAATTACGATTTCTACTTCTGAAGGCATCACTTAGTTACTTGGTAGCTTTTAAGCTGATGCCGTGGACTTATTTTTCTTCTAAGATAAAGTCACATCTATAGATTTTGCAACTAATTACATGTCTGCCAATAAATACTTAGAGGATACATTTTATTTCAATTTATTATTTGTGTTTACATAGCAGGTCCTTAGAAACAATCTGTGGGACTGAAATGTTCTAATGGTGTTTGCTACTACTTATTCATCGTCCTCTTTCTCTTCCCTTTCTCTCTGTCTTGCTTTTTTTAATAGCTCTAGTCTGTCCGGTCAAGCATGACAGCAACTCAAACTCGGCAAACTTCCAAGATGGTGAGGACATGCCTGACAGATGTGTCTTAGAAGAGTCTGAGAGTCCAGGTGAAAGCCATTTAAAAATAGTCAAATATAAAATGATAAATTTGACACCGCTTTGGGGTCCTTGGGAGGGTGCTGGGAGAGGGGACATGGTGATGCTGTTTTCTCTTAGCAGCTGCACTGTCAAATTAATGGTCACCTCCAGAGGTCACGGTGTGGAGCTGTTATCTTTTCCTCTTTCATCAAGAATTCAGTTGGAAGAAGTACAAAGGCTTTATGGCTGAGAAGGGAAGCTGACACTATTAGTTCATTATCATCAATTTTAAGCTTAACTGGTTAATACATGCAGAGATCGGAAACTAGAGAAATGTTGGCATTTTTAAATGTTTCAACTAATGAGATCTAACAAGAGTCAGGCAGAAATGGAGAAAAAAGAGGAATTGTGTCCGCATTACGATTTTACCTTTCTAAAAGCAAATGGGGAAAAGAGCATTTTGGCTTGACCGGAAGGGTTGTTTTCAAAGAAGAGAAAAATGGTAAGCCTCTGTCACACCATAAAGTGGACTCTACGCCAGAGTATTTTTAGGTTCTTTGTGGAACGAACAGACAAAAACATACTGGAGGGATGCAGCCAGAAAGCCGGAGCATAGATTTTTGTTGTTGTTGTTTTGAAGTATACCTAATTTTAATGAGTAATTAAGTTGTTTTTTTTTTAATCTTGCAAAAGTCAAATGCCATTCCAGAATCATTACAAAGCCCAAAGATGCTCAAAGGTATCCATTACCCTGAAGGACAGAGCCACAGGATCTCCCCCACTCACACGATGAACATTTCTCCTCCCAGCATTATTCTGGCACTGGTGTACTCTCCACCCTCTCACAGCCTTGTGTGCTGATCCATGTATCATATTTTTGATTCATCCTCTCTGTGGCCTGTCAGCTTAGTTAAGAGATTTCCAAATCTTGTTGCCTTTGCTGACAGGGGCAGCTGCAAACAGTCCCCTGATCCTTCCCTGAGGAGAGCTACTGAGATTTAATTTTCAGTGAAAGGTGCAGCCTGCAATCTATGTCAGGTCCCCTAAGTCATCTTAGAACCCCAACAGACCAGTGGTGATGGCATTGTATATCAGTCCCCTCTTATGCCTGATTCCTCAAAAGATGAACCTCTGCTGGGCAGCGGTGCTCAACCCAACTTCTGCCGCAGGACCCCATGGCACAGCAGTGTTGAGCAGTGACAGCAGTTTTTAGTGAACAAAGTAGCTTCTATCCTGGCCGAAGTGTGGATCTGTCTCACTGGAGAAGTGAGAGGGTAAAGGTAGAAATAAATTTCTATAATAAAAATTATTTTTAAATGACTTAGTTTCAAATCTTTGTAGTTAGACAAGTTTAGTTTAAAAGTGTCTTAGTGTAAATCTTTCCTACCAACCAGTTATTCAAGCGATAATTACATAAGTGCCTCTTGTTTTTGACCCAAAAAAAAAAAAATAGATCAGCATTAAACCACTTAAAAAAGTAGAATAAATTTCCCTCTCCCCATAATATGAGTTGGATTCAAGAGTAGCATGCTCTACCTGACTGATGCAAACAAAAGGACAGATCAAAAATAGAAAGGTTAATTAAAAGACATAGGTGCTGATAATCATAACTTACAAGGAAGTGAGTACTCTTCTATACATCGGACATCATTAAACTGGTAATAAAGAATGAATTACTCGGGCTTTTCCCTCTGTCCATTCCTGCATTTTAAGACTTCTCACCTTATAGGCCTAGAAACCTCTGGAGGCTTCACTACTGGTCTCACTGCCTTCCACTGAGAATTTGTGGCTTGGTTGTCATGGAGACATCGTATTTCTCCAAGAATTGCTCATATTGATCCGTGGCCAGGCGTAAATGGCCAGGCGAGTGTGAGGAATAAAGGGGGCTGGGCAGTCCTATAAAAATGACCAGGGCTTGTGGGCTGGAAATAAGCTCATAGCAAACACTTAGGTAAAAAAGAAAGAAGCAGTTTCGTTTTGTTTCAGGATTTCTTTCTGCACTTTGGACCATTGTCTCCTTTCAGCATGAACTGAAAGAAACTTGTTAGTCACTTGTCATGTCAGATCTTTGGTGCTTGTCCTGCCTGACACAGCTGTCAGCCTTCCAGCTCTGTGCAGTTCAGGGACACACAACAAAGAGGCAGTGACATGAATTATTTATTGCTCCTTGTGTGGATAAAATTCTGTGATAAGAAATTAAGACACTTCTGACAGAGGTGCTTGTTTAGTAAGAAAGATTTTGATGAGACCGTGCATTTCCCTGAACTAGAAATATTCGGCAGGCAGAATTCTCAGAACAGGATAGCGTGGACAGTCCGCTTTGTGTCTCTTGTTTGAATTTGGTGGCACAGAAGACTTTTTTGAACTATAAAAATATGACTGCCTGCCTTTAAAGATGCAAAAATGTTCATTCATCTACAACTGTAGGGGCCCCAAAATGCTACCCATTATTCTAGTGATTTAGTTACCTGTTTGCCACAAGCAAGAGGTATTTCTCTGGAAAATATTACCTACCTTTGGGAAGGTGTCATTAAGCTGGTAGAGGTGTTTCATTCAGTAGCTTAAAAAACTGCATTAGCATATACTCTTTAGCATATTCATTTCTCTATATAGAAAAGAATGCATGCAAATCTAAATACATGGTTCTAGCCATTTTCAGCTGGAATCTTACCACTTCTTTAAAATTCCTTTTAACATTTTCACACATAAGCAAAATCCTCCAGTTACAGAGTTCAATGTAGTTACATAGTTTTACCTATGCAGGGCTAAATGACTCATATACTAATAAGCACATCATTTAAAATAACTACATGAATTGAACAGCACACAGAAAATGAAAACAAAAATCATTTTTCCATTCAAACGCAATACAAAAAATATTTCTTGTATTCTTTCTAGCTTTTCCGTTGCATATCCTCTGACCATTATTTAGTTTAGTTATGGCTTCATACTGAAAAAAATTAACTCACTTTCGTACATAGAAGGCAAGAGAGACGCTGAAACACAGAAGAACTAAACTTAGATTTTTGAAGAGTTGAAGCTAATACTTTTTAATGTCAGTAGCTTTTATAGATCGTTAGTAAAATCACATTTTTGAAATTTGTATAAAATAGGGAGATGGACCAGGTGAATTATCTTTGAACATGATGGGTGTTGAATTCACTGGAGAGTTTCTTTTTACATTGACTTCACTCCTTCTCCAGCACGGCACAGACCAAGATGGTCCATTTGTAAGTAAGCTGCAGTCTGCATATAGGTCACAACTTAGATGGAGGAGTGGATGTTCACCTGCTCTCTAGAGTGCTGTACCTTATTCATCATGCCATTGTGATCACTTTATTGGTTCAAGCTGTATACCCAGGTGAGTGCCTGGAGTCCATTAAGGTTGGCAAAGCACCTTTAGACCAGAGCATTCCTGTTACTTTGACCCTGCTAGTGAACCTGGAGGTCTTATCTGATGGGGGAAAGTATCCCTCAGTAGTGTCTTTCCTTTGGAATAATTCATTAGCAAAGAGTTTTGACTCACAAGTGAATCCCAGGTTGGAGTTTCTATCTTAGACTTTTTGAAGTCTGCTTGCTCCTTTGCTGGCATTTATACGTTCCTGAAACCTGAGGGAATAACAGATGTCTAGTAATAGAAGAACCAAGACAATATGAACTTTAAGCTCCATTTGTATTTGTGATTTTAGTGCCATTTGGGCTTTCTTTCTTGGCTCTTTAAACCCTGCTTGCTTCTAAGATTGAAATCTATCTTCACAAAAAAAAAAATAGTCCAGTTGCATCAACATCTTATTAACTGTTTGCTATAGTGTTTCAAGTTCAACCCTTATTCTCCAGAATATTTGGCGTCCTTCATCTTTGCATTAAAGTGATTTTAAAAAAAACCATAGTGCAACATTTCATATTTTTATGCAAGTATTGGTGAAAGACACCAAGCTTTTATCACTTTATTGGCTTAGAAAATTAAGAGTTTTACTCCCTACATTTAAATTTAACTTCAGCTGAAATAATAGTGGCAAGAGAGATCTTGGAAGTACCAAAAAAAACTGCATTCATATAAGTTGTCACATCAGTTCTGAAGTAGTTGGTAATCAGTATGCATTCTGCCATTAATAGAACATTTTAGTGGCTTTTACGTAGCACGTTATGCGTGTGGATCTATATACATCATTGTCAATCAATACTACATTTGCATGAGTCTGATGAGCAAAACCAGATTTCTCAGAATTTCCAGAGGACAAATACATTGTGAAAGGCCCGAGTGGATTTTTTTTCCTGTTACTATTCTGGCTCATGAATCACCAGCAGAAGCCAGGTAACAGAAAGTAGGACAGATTTGGGACTGGAGTGCTGGAGATGGCTGATGATGATGTATGAAGCAGAAAAATGCGGACCGTATGAACGGCGCATCAATCACAGCCTTCGCGAACACACTTCTTACGGTGGGTGCTATAAAAGAAAACAATTACAATAGCACAAGTTCTTTCCGCTGATCATATTTAACTGTTTACCTTGTGTATAAAACAAGAGTGTGTTTACTATGGAATGTATTTTATTTCAAGAGGGAAAACATTCTAAGCTATACTTTTATTGTTTCTGCCGTCATTTCCCTCATCCTTTCTCTCCATCACTCAACTAACCTATAGTCAACCATATAACCCAGATAATCTGGTTCGTTTTTTTCTCCCTAGGTCAACCAAGACGCCACCCATGGGTAGCAAAGGTGTGTGCCTGCAAGATGTGCTAAATGAAACTGTAGACTTTGGATCTAAACAAATGAAGAAAATAAAAGCAACGCTGTTCCTGTTCTGTAATGGAATGGATAATGCTTTCGAGTGTATTTAAAGAACATACCCAAATTCTCACTCTAGAAAATCACAGCCATTCTACATTCCTCATTTTGTTAATATTTTCAACAAGAAGTGCCAATCCACAAATACAAGAAAGCACTACTTTAGGTTCTCTCCCATTTCTGAGCTCCTGAACTACTTAATAAGCAGCCTAAAAGCCAATGTAACACACAATATTACAGGTAATGTTGCTTGAGGGTATTTCAGTTAAAACCCTAGATTTGTTAGGTTAGGACATTTTGTCTTAGTAAATACTTCAATTCAGACCAACCACTGTACTAAATCGCACCCCTAAGCATGAAGTGTTGTCAACAAATAAGTAGCTCCATTTAGTCATCAATTAATCCAAATAAGTGACACACAGGGTAACAGTGGCCAGCCTTGAGCAGTCTCATTAGTTTTCACTTTTAATGACATCGAGGCTGATGTCTTTGGCTAAAGGGTGATGCTCTTAGCCGTATAGATGTGATCTAGAGAGGGGAGCCTACTTGATTCTTACTAAGTTTCAACTCTTGCAGTTCTTTTCCCAGAAAGAGTTGTGACTGGCAGGAATTCTAAAACTAAAATATGCAAAGCAATATAAATAGGAACTGACATAAAGTGCCTATCTACTAATGCCTTCACAGTAACGTATTTTCTGTGATTTATATTGTACAGTTCCTCAATTTGTAGAAAAATCAAGGATTGTTAATTTACATATATTGTGAATACAAATATGTTCCTAATCCATAGGAAAATGAAAATATTACATGCATATGATGTAGCTTTCTCTAACCAAGGTAGTACAAATCACTTCAACTCAATAAACAGTTTTGGAAGACAGCCTACACAGGGAGCTGTGGGGAGAGCGCGGAGGGCATCCAATACCTTCTTCCTCTTCCCACGATTCCTTCTCCCTTTCTCCCTACATGTCTCCTCCCCTTCCTTTTTTCCACTTTTAATATTTCACTTTAGAAGACTAGAGAATTACTTAAATTTCTAACATATGTAATGGAAATGGCATGGTATCTACTTTTTAGGACATATAATTCATGGTTGACCTGAATGAAAATACTAGAAATAGATTCCTTTAAAGTAGGTGAAAGTTTTATGCTCTAAAATATAATGTCCCTGCTTGACATCACTTGAGTTCTTCCTAGGAAAAGATAATGTGTTATTAATATGAATAACTGTGGAAAACTGGGATCCTTTGGAGATGGGCATCCTTTTGTCCTTTTTGAAACAGTCAAAGCCGCTTGAAATAGAGGGAGGCTGTAAGTTAGCTAATGCAGTAGATTATCTTGCATGCCACGAGCATGGGTTAAATTGTATTTGCATGTTCAAGTTCCACTATGCTGACTGGAAATAATCTTGTGCTTGTGCTTGGCTGCTGCTCTACCACTTGAGTCACACCTTCAGTCCTGTGTTTGGCTGGTTATTTTTTATATAAGGTCTCATGAACTTTTCTAGTAAGATGCCTCCTGAGCAGCTAAGATTGCAGGTGTGCGCCACTTGAGCCTGGCTTAACAACAGTTCTGGTTTTTTGTTTTTGTCAGTCGTGGGGCTTGAACTATGGGCCTGAGCGCTGTCCCTCAGTTCTTCAGCTCAAGGCTAGTGCTCTACCATTTGAGCTACAGCACCACTTCCGGTTTTCTGGTGGTTTATTAGAGATAAGAGTTTCAAGGACTTTCCTGCTGGGCTGGCTTTGAACCTCGATCTTCAGATTTCAGCTAGGATTACAGACGTGAGCCACCAGCGCCCGGCTAACAACAGTTTTAACCTTAGTATTTTTTTTTAAAGCCAGTTTTACTTATTCTTAGCATTATTTTCAGGTCTAAGGTAATATTTTATGATGTCACCAGTGATAGAAAATTAGAAATGGAATCAATTTTTCAACATATTTTCATACATGATCACATAAAGTGACTCAAAAGTTAAAACTTACCAAGTAAGTTTTATAGTCTGTCTTTATCAATATCAATTCTGAAGGCCAATACCATACATAACTAGCAAAATGTTTAACAATGAGAGTTTTAGAGAGATTCAAATTATACTTCTTTATATACAAGTGTATTTTATGACACAAATCTACTGATCTGTTTTAAAATGCTTGCTTTTTATATTGCCTTATGTTCAACATATTTCATTAATTTGTGTCATGGGGAAATTTGAAGAAGCGTACTGTAACCGCGAAGCAGAATAGACCGCAGCACAACGCTCAGAAACCGGAACTGATTTCTTGGACTTGGTGCTTGCCCTTTTGTACATCTGGTCTTACATAACCAGTGGAGTAAGTGTATCAGCGAACATGTTTGCATCCAGTTTGCCTGTCATTTTAACAACATTAAACACAATCTTGGGTTGCTTTCTGGTAATCATCCTGGTGATATTTATAAATATATGCATCTATAGAGCGTGTCCCTCCTAAGCAATTTTCAAATGTGTAAACTTGGATTCTTTTACTTACTGTCATGGTGAAGGTTGGCTGTGCCATGTGTGACCTGGAAGGAAGGCATGAGGGGCTGAGGGAGGGCTTTCCTGCATGTGTCCAGGCAGTGTGGTCTTCTCACAGCTTTGTTCATCCACACTGGCGAGTTTCCTTATAAAGGCCATACAAAGGTTCTTTATGAGATGGTTTATAAACGGCATGGTGAACACTCTAAAAAGCCTCAAATGCAAGATAAATATATTATTAATACAATTAGGAGGCCTCAGACCTCAAACATCCTCTTGCTATTTTAGAAACTAAGGGGATATTTGGAACATGTCACTGTTAGAACAATGGTAGGAATTTTTAGCTAAGTATTACTATTCTATCTTTTAATAGTAGCATTTGAGATGATGCTAATTTCCTTATATACCATTTTATTTACTATATTTTATAACTTCATAGTTATTTAAGTCAATGTTTTAGAAAAGAGATCGTTTCTCTTCAGTCTTTAAAATGCACATTATAATAATGAAGTTTTTAAAAATTAACCACAGTTAAAATGGTTGAGATTACATTAATTCCAATTGATTTTAAAGCCTGATTTTCACAGAATGTACTCATAACTTTAAATTTTTTGACCTGCATATTTTGATTGCTCAGTTATCTAAAAACTGGGTTAAACGCTTTCATTCTTTTTTTTTTTTTTTTGTCGGTTGTGGGGCTTGAACTCTGGGCCTGAACACTGTCCCTCAGCTCTTCAGCTCAAGGCTAGCGCTCTACCACTTGAGCTACAGCGCCACTTTGGGTTTTCTGGTAGTTTATTGAGGATAAGAGTTTCACGGACTTTCCTGCCCGTGCTGGCTTTGAACCGTGATCCTCAGATCTCAGCCTCCTGAGTAGCTAGCATTACAGGCATGAGCCACTGGTGCCCGGCTTTTTTTTTTTTTTTTTTTTTTGCCAGTCAGGGGGCTTGAATTCAGGAGCTGCTTGCTGCCCCTAAGCTCTCTTTGCTCAAGGCTAGCACTCTACCACTTTGAGCCATAGCTCCACTTGCTAAACCATTTTATTCTGTACAAAGTATTGTATCATGTGTATACATATATATGTATATATGTGTGCACATATACATCTATGTGTGTGCATATATATATATATATATATATATATATACACACAATACCTAGAAAAGTTTATAATACCTAGAAAATTTTAAGATTTTCAACACTATAACCAAACTCAGACTTTCTTTTTTTTTTTTTCTTTTTTTTTTCTTTTATTTTATTTGAAAACATACTGTACAGAGGGGTTACAATTACATGGGCAGGAAAATGCATACATTTCTTACCAAGCATTGCAGCCTCCTCCTTTGTTTACCCTTCACCTCCCTTCCCAGCCTCCCCCCTCCCCCCCACCCAATCATACCCCCCCTCCCTCCCCCCCACCGACATTGTAAAGCTGGTTTTGACATGACATTTTGTACTTCTCATTGTTGCAACAGGTCCACCTGAATCCTTAAACGACTTGTTTGTCCCCGTCTCCTCCACATGTTATACTGACATCAAATATAGTGAAAGCAGGGGTTACACTGTGGGGGAGGGACATACAAAGCAACAAAGAAATAATATTATAAATGCGTTAGAAACACATACATGAATGAAACAAAAACATTAAAATACATATTTGAGGGTTCGTTTTCCTAACATCACATTCTCTGACTTTTTCCGCTTGACTCATACCTATACTAGATATTGCAAATAAGGGAAACCATGGGACCTATGTTTCTTTGGGCCTGGCTTACTTCACTTAATATAATTTTTTCCAAGCCTTTCCATTTCCTAACAAATGGGGCAATGTCATTCTTTCTGATGGAGGCATAGAATTCCATTGTGTATATATACCACATCTTCTTGATCCATTCATCTACTGAGGGGCATCTGGGTTGGTTCCATATCTTAGCTATGGTAAATAATGCTGCAATAAACATAGTTGTGCTGGTAGCTTTAGTGTGGCCTTGTTTGTGGTCATTTGGGTAAATGCCCAAAAGTGGGATTGCTGGGTCATTGGGGAGCTCTATATGGAGTCTTTTGAGGAACCTCCATACTGCTTTCCAAAGTGGTTGAACAAGTTTACATTCCCACCAACAATGAAGTAAGGTTCCTTTCTGTCCACATCCCCTCCAGCATCTGTTGTTGTTAGAGTTCTTGATTTTTGCTGTTCTAACTGGAGTGAGGTGATATCTCAATGTTGTTTTGATTTGCATTTCTTTTATGGCTAGGGATGTTGAACATTTCTTCATGTGTCTATTGGCCATCCTTCTTTCTTCTTCAGAGAAGCTTCTCTTTAGGTCTTTCGCCCACTTACTTATTGGGCAGTTGTTTCTTTGGGGATTTGTTGTTGGGTGGTTTAATTTTTTGAGTTCCAAGTATATTTTAGATATGAGACCCTTGTCCGTTGTATGGCTAGTAAAGATCTTCTCCCAATCCGTGGGCTTTCTATTGATCTTGCTAGCTATGTCATTTGCCCTGCAGAAGCTCTGCAACCTTATACAATCCCATTTGTCCAACCTTTCTTTGATTTGTTGTGTTTCCGGGTCTCTATTCAGAAAATTTCGGCCTGAGCCGAGGAGACCCAGGGTTTCTCCTATTCCATCCTGTAATGTTTTCAGAGTGAAACTCAGACTTTCTTGAGTGGATGTTTTCCACATGAAATTAAATAGCTGTTGCAGCGGATCTTTCCCAGGCCACTATGGCAACAAGGATACTAGAGATGGAAGACAGGGGAGGAGCATAAAGCCAGAAATGAGCTTGCCTCCAGGACCACGTTTCCTAGCCACAGAAACTCCCATCCATCTATGGCTTCCTGGAAAGTCACGGGCAACATCTATTCTCCTTAGAGCGGGAGGGCCAGGTCAAGCCTGCCCTACCCTGCCCCTACTCTCTCCCTCTCTCCATTCTGGCCTTCTCAGATCTCATGTTAAGCTTTTTGATATCACAGACTTTGCAATAACTAGGTTTTTATAAACATTGAACTCAAATGTTAATTGTGATTATTCTATTTTTTTTATCACTCTCTAGTTTTGAGCTCATTAAGTCTGCTGTAAATTCACCTTGACCCAGAAGGCATGTAAATGGACTGTGACAATTATGCCACTAGCAGCATGGTTATATTGATACAAATATTAATAAATGTATTGTAATATCATGTGAAAACTAAACCCACAAACCACTGAAAACACTGGAAATGACTCACACGTTGAATCAGAGAAGGGAGAATGTCCAACCTAAATGGTTCTTCTGATATTCTTTCTCCAAATGCCTTTTTTCATTAAACAGAGCATGTTTTCCAGTCATCAACTAGGAGAAGTAGTGAGGATTTTCTTTCAAAGCTGCAAGGTTTTTAAACACCAAAGCAAATTAGTCCATGTTTAATAAACCCTGTATCTAAAACTGCAAAGTGCCAAATGCCAGCAAAATGCCAATATTCATAACATTATGTAAAGGCAATAATTAATTGGCACATGTTTCCAAAACCCATCATTTATTCACTTAGCAGTCATTTTAATTGCAATTATCTGTAAAGTCATCCATCGGTTTTTCGATCTTGTGTGTATATCTAGGCAGAAGGTGTTTCACACTGCCTCAGGAATGGACAACTGGGGCCTCAGGTGAAGCCTTCTAAGGTGAAAAGAAACCCTGTGATGGTTCTTGACATCTCAAAAGCTTCCTTCAGACTTTTAAAGAGATAACCCTGTGAATTCTGCTGTGTGCACTACAATTCCTATTACCAAGACACTTGCATCTCTGTATACTTAAAGCTACTGACATTCTTACATCTCTTCTTCATTTGTATCAGTTGATAATCAATTGAGAAAGCACTGTCTTCCTTCCTTTCCTCTTCTGTACTTTAGAGTCTGCCAAGGAAAACAACAGCAACAAAAACTATAACCCAGTTAGATTAAGCACCTTTGTCTTTTCCCTGAGACATAGCCTTGGGGATCAAGTTGCACTAGGAATTGTCTGATAAGGAAGATTTTTCAGTTCTCAACCTCGCAATAACCAGTGTATTTCCAATCATCTGTAGCCAAACCATTTGGTATAATCTGCAAAGAATTCAAGACAGAAAGGGAAAAATACGAACATGTCATGG